GTGGGAAGCTGCGGGCAATTTTTTTAATCGTAAGTCCATATTTCCTGAAAGTCTGCTTGTTTGAAGATCCAAGGCGAAGAACGCTGTTCTAAGCCTAACCGGCGTCGGGCCGTTGGCCCAACGAAACGCCACTCGCGTTTCCGCGCAACGCGCGAGAATGGCTGCCGACGACGCGGCTGCGTCAACCGGAGCCACGACATCGATCGAAGAAAAAAAACTCAAGGCGAAGAAAATGCTACCAGCGTCTCACAAAAAAACCCTCTTTACAACGGGGAATGGCTCACTGCAACGTACCACAACTCAAGGCTGATCACCGTTCCGGAGGCCGGGGCCGAAGCGGTAGACAAATCAGCGTCTTAGCCAACCTAAACAGAAAGGGAATCCTCTTCGAAAAGGGAAACTGCCTCCACTGCCGAAAACCGACTTCAAGGTCATGATTAGACCGAGGGATGGGCTCAACATCAGTCAATTAAGCACGCATCAGATGGCACGCGCTATAACTATGGCATGTGGTAACCAGACATCTGCAACGAAGGCAACCTGCTTATACGGCTGCGCAATGTATCTAACATCACCATATTCAGGACGTCAAGCATGGAGACCGCCAACATTGTGCACAGCGTGCATATTACGGCATTTGGTTTCGGGCAGACATCCGAGTGGTGGCCGACTGCCCCGCATTTGTCGCAGGCTTCGGTGCGCTTCTTGTGTAGGTAACATTTGTATTCGGCTCCTCGATAGTAGACATGGAAAGAGACTTGGTCGCCATCGAATACAATGAGTAGCGTGTTTGCCTTTCCCATTCGGCGAGCTTGTAGAATCGTGGGGTTGCGGTCATTAACAAGACTTGCTGAGATGTCTTCAGGAAAGTCGTAAAGGGAAATATTGTGGATCACTCCCTTTGCTGTGTTCTCAGAGGAAGTAACGTAGGCTCGAACGTCATAGGTTTCAGTTTCCACCTGTAGTTTGAGATCCGACTGTAGATTACTGCGTTGGATAGATGAGGTGTGCTTACTATGGTGAGATTAGCTTCAACGCATGTGCGGTAAATGTCCTCTTTGAGTAGCGTTGCGTGCAGATCCACTTCGCGTAGAATAGCATCGCGCAGTTGTGCTTCCCCCACTTTGGAAAGATTGAGGCCGTCCCTCGGGCGAATCACAACTTTTACGTGATCATCTGGCAGGCGCGGTTGTCTGGGTTCGCGAGGGAGACGCTGGGCAGATCCGTTAAGCATTGGGGTATCGGACGCGCTTCCCTGGCCAGTTGGCGATGCCGGAGCGTTCAAGGCATGCTTGCGTTGCTTGTTTCGGTGGCTAGAGATCCATCCGGCTTCGAAGGTGGCGTCTTCAGGGGCGATCTCGGTTCCTTCGACTTCGACCACTTCCATGGTTAACACTGCTGCGATTTCTGAAGGTAGGGCTCAACGTGGGTGAGTCAGATGGAGTTGGGTGGCACCGGCGTCGTGACGAGGAGCAGCTGTTGTGGCAGCCGCCACGCCAGCGTCGGGCGGCGCGAGCAGTGCGAGTTCGTCGTTGCGGTTAGCGTCTCTATCACCTGGGTCAGGAAAAGCTTGCTCACCGAAAATCCTCCGTGTACTGTAGTCGGGGGCTAGTTTTATTGGGTGCTGGGGTGGTTCCAGTTGTCGACAAGGGCGATTGAAGATATCCAGAAGTAGGGGTTCAACGCTGCCTCTTCCACATGCAGGAGCAAGTGGGTGTGCTGCTGCTCTGCATCATCTCTAAGGCGTCTCTCCAGTCTGCTGGAGGATGTGGTCGGCGGCTATATTTCCAAACAAAAGTATTCCCTTGCATGACACTGTGCGCATCTAGCAATCCAAAATGCTGGACAAGGCGTCGCAGTTCACGTGAATTCCAAGCAGACCGACCCCAGCCACGAACTTGTTCATCACTTCTCGTATTTAGCACAGAGTTGAAGTCAAATAAACAAGACATTCTCTACTTCAGATTGGCGCCCTTATTTTCAACAAGGATCAAGGGCCCAGACAGCCCTTGTGGAGCATGTTTTACAGTCGGTTATCTGATGTCGAAGTTGAAGCATTGAAGCTTGATTCGAAAGATTTTTTGCGAAACGCTACCATTGTATCCGGGTGCATGTGATTGTTATATAAGATACACTGTCTAAAATTGCACATGCAATTAAGTTTACTACGCAGGATGTTAGGCAGATTGAACTTTTTGTTGCTGGTAGTTCTTTATTGCTGGTACTTCTTTTATCCAGCACTCGTTTATGTATTTTTCTAGGTTGGCAATCGATTCATTGTCGAGGTTTGTGAAAATCTTAGTGGTTGCACCGTATAGTCCTAGCGTTGATTTGGTGTTTACCTTTGTACAGCCACGCTGACTTTGGCCTCCATTTTTGTCGCCTAATATAGCGTTTACATGACGGCTGTCAAGTGTGCCTGTGTTTTAGGCATTTGTGCTTCAGTTGTATCAGAAATTTCCCTTCCGTGTCCTCATAGGGGTGTAATAACCTTTAATTACGTGCACAATGTTGTTTTTTCTTGTTATTGTCAGGGTCAAGCAGGAACCTGAGCAACCGCTGGGTTCTACAGGTGATTTATTGCCCCTCCATAAAATTATACATTTCTTGTCGCATTGTCGTTTGCTTAGACGTTTTGCATCTTGTTCTCTTCATGACAGAGCTTTATGTGCCTCCTCGAAGCGACGTTTTGCTTCCGGTCTTTGAGTCTATTGTGAAGTGATTACTCAGATTCCCACATGTGGATAAGTCTGCTCTAGCATTTGTTCGAGTTAGATTCTTCAGATGTTGATATTTTGTTCCAGCTCTCACCTTATCGCTCTTTGTCTGTATATAATAGATCGCTGTCATGATGTATCACTTGATGCCCGTTTTCGTACCAGCGTTGTAAATACCTTCCTCGGCCCTTCATTGAGAAATTGATGTTTTGGTTTCCTAAACTCTACAGCTCAAATATCATATCCCAAAACCTTCTCCGGCCTTTTTCGTTCTGGTTACGACCCCCGGGTGAAAATGGGCGGTTGGAAGGAGGCTAATTTTGTTGAATTCGCTGCCGACAACTGGGCAAGCATTGTGATGCTTCTGACGCACCAGAAGGGAGCCCATTGTCTGACAACTGCTTTGCCTCTAGGATGTTTATTATATTGATTATTGTTGTCACTTTAGCCGTTTCAACATGATTTCTTTCCTTTATTTATTTATTGTTCTATATTTAGGCCTTTCGGATATCGGCAATTGATGTAACTTAATGCCACCGCGTTATCTTGTTTACACGTCTAGTTTGGGTCTTCGATTTGAGTGCAGGCTGCTCATTGCCTTCGTCCATCTTACTGTTCGCAATTTCAGGTAGCACTTTTCGTGCTCGCTTGTCGAGCGAAAGTTACCCAATTTACGTGGATTTTTAGGGTCGAAGCTTCTTAAGCCTTGGGTCGTACGTTCCCTTTCGTCGTGCATCGTCGTAGCAGCCAGTTGCAGTACTGTGCAGGTCTATAAAATTGTCACAGCATATCCACGGAGTGAATGATGATGGGTAGGGTGAAGCGTCCATCAGTCCATCCGTGCGTCCAATTCGGGCGGTCTGGCCTCGTACTTCTGAACGATGCTGAGCTTCCAGACGTCGGTGGACGAGGCACTGACCACTGGTATTACCACGAGGACGGGCTGCGAAGAGCTTCGCCCCACTCGTCATCATTCACCTCGTGGGTCGATATGTTGCGATTCTTTTTTTATCCTCGAGGATTTTCCATTTTCTCGTTCATACCTAGCATAATAACTGTACGTTCAGTTTCTTTACTTCATTATTAATGGAAGTCTCGCCAGACACCCACGGGCACGCGCGACCCCAACACCAAACCCTCGGCCACACGTCTGCCCAGCTCACCGCGGCTTTCGGGTCTGTTGAAGTGGATGGCCAAGATGTGAGCCTAAAACAGGGCCATGTCTACAAGTTTCCAAGAACCAAACCGGGATAAGAACCAAGGGTCTGGCTCCCATTCTCGACCTTGCTCTTGGTATATAGCGTCGTTTCCTTGCGTTTGAGAGACCATTGTTCTCCTCGCCACTCTTCCATAAATATTGGTGAATAAGGATGGTAAAGGTTAAATAATGAGTTCATCACTTAGTTCAGGCATAATCCACGATGTCCGGTCGGTACGCATAACAACCAAATTTCATTCGAAGTGAAATCGAAAGACTATATATAACTGTAATAGGAATACAACACTTCCGCAACACTGGCACCTTTTGTAGAGCCATGAGGAGGGAAATTAGGAAGAGTTGGTAAGCACTCGTTTGACAGTTTTATATAATTAAAAAAAAACAGCCTAGCCTTAACAAAAAATATGTGCCCGCCAGGGATCGAACCTGGGACCTTCCGCGTGTTAGGCGGATGTGATAACCACTACACCACGGGCACAGCGCGGAGATAACGTTTTTATTTAGATTCATAATGAATATGTCAACTTGCAATACTGTCAATAGTTTTGTTGTGGCATAATTTATTACTTTCCTTTTTAGTACATTGTACCTCGACGCAAACAACTCAAAGACATTTCTCAATGCGACCAGAATGCACAGCAGCTAGCTCATTCATCCCAACAATGACACACGTAAACTGCAAAAACAGCGCTTATTTCCGTCGCGAACGCATAGAACACCGTTTCTCGCCGTTTTAGTGCGAAATAGATGATGCATCTATCACAGCCTGATCACAGCCACTTCCTTTATCTATCACAACACACGCAAGCGATGGCGGCGCCGCTTTTCATGCTTTGCTGCATTTCTTTACAGTCACAAAAATGCACGTAATAAGCAATTAAACCAAATAAAAATATAAACCAACCTTTTGCGGTGTGTAAACTTCCACACGTCAATGTTATTTTTTAAATAGAAGCTTCCAACCATACCAACAAGCCCAAATCGCCACCCTCATTGACTTCAAAACGTCTCGGCAACTCCGCCAGGTGTCTGTCGCTATGGAAACTGCCACACGTTGCCAAGCATGGCGGCGGGCGTGCGATGTTCCGTGTTCGAAAAGCGCGTCGCCACCGGGTTGACCTTCCCGTTAGTGTAGCGCGGAACCCTTGTTACGACGTAGCTGCCTAGAGAACGAACGCATCGATGCTCGCTTTAGATGATCGCGGGAGGAAAAGACGACCTCGCGAACGTCGATCATATGATCGCCGGCGCGATCAGCGGTTTCGTCACTCGTTTCCTATGCCAGCCTTTCGACGTCGTCAAGATTCGATTCCAGGTGAGTCGTGTTGCCTCTAGATTGCGACGCGATCAGTTTTGAACAGCCTCGCAGGCTTGTCAATGACGGCATGATGTGATCGCATCTGTGAATAGCTGCTGGCTTATCCAATGCGGAAGAGAAAAAACACTTTGAACCTTAACGAAACATCGTGTTTGCTTGCGATCTTCTCGCCAAACGCGCGTCGTGTTGACGTTTACATTGTTCTTTTTCAATCTCTTTCGGACAATGTTGCGTCACATTTTGTAGCGTGCAATTGGTTTAACCAACGTGCATTTATTTGGGTCAACGCACCGTGCAACCTCCGGATAAAGGGTACGCCTATTGATATAACAGCACAATCGCAAGAACACGGTCACTCTTGATCGCGAATGCCTCTAACCCGAACCGCGATCGAATGTAATCGCCATTAGCCATGCACCGTGCGACATCTGCGAAGCGTGATTTCTGTTGTAAAAACAGCTACAACTGGACCCGATCAAGTCGTCCCACCCGACGGCCAAGTACACGGGAATATGGCACGGCACCGGGCGCATTCTACGCGAGGAAGGTGTCGCCGCATTCTGGAAGGGGCATGTTCCTGCCCAGATGCTCTCCATCGTCTACGGTGGAGTACAGGTGAGTACAGGCGATCGTGGCGAAAGCGTAAGTTCGTCGCGATGCATTATTGTCAACAAACAATGAGCCTTTGAAGAACACGTGGTTTCCGACAGCTGACCTTGGCCGCTGTATGTACATATGTGCGCTGCTTTCGTAGTGTTCGTTTATGTTTTACTGCGCAATAACTAAGAATAGAAGTGAAAACGCATCCACGCTTGCAAACGTGCCGGGTTCGATGCGCGGTTTAGTTAACTTTGCGTTTACCGCCGCTGTATTTATCATTCAGATATGTTATTTTCGACGGCGGTCGAATTTCTCAAGCGCGATTCGCTCGTTGGCACGAGCCGCTGCAGGGATCCATATACGGATTTACGCCGTGTTTAACGTTTTATACGATTTACACCGTGTTTTATCGACATTTGGCGAGCGGATCGAGTTAGGTTTCGTTTTGACGCGTCGTCTGCTACGATTTACGCCGCCATTTCGGTTCCTTCCTAATCGTTCCACACAGAGGCGGATATTACTGCAGGCGCGGTCGATGACACCCGTCGTGTGATTCCTCGTCTTCGATGAGCCTCGATATAAATGCACCTTCTGATGCGCTGGGATAGCCGGAAGAATGGGTTTCCGCGCTCGCGCGTCGCCAAGGTCAAGGGCGCGTCTTTCGTTTGCGCTTTCTTGGCGACTGTGTACGGGTTGAGCAGCGATTCGCGCGTAAACAGTGGAAGGGAAGTGGGAAGGAGGGGCGTTGTTGACAGAGCGTCGCAGCTGCGTCGAGTAGAGCTCGTGCTTAAATCTAGGTGAAGCCGACGCACGTTTCGTGGTTAAAAGGCTAGTTTGTAGTCGTTGAAACTTGGTTCTTGCGTGTGCGTGTGATGAGCGTGAGCCATTACGAACACCTTGTTTTAAAGATTCAGCAAAACCATTTTTTTTTTTTCTGGGTGTTCGGTGATTTGTGAAAACTCGATACTTGGTATATCGCAATATATAAAGAACTTATCTCGGGTTTATTCCAAGCCCAATAGAAGTTATTATTTACAGTCACCAGCTAAGGTTTACAGGACTCGTGATTTACAAAAAAAAAAAAGCTGCATCACTGCAAAGGCTCTGCACGTCGCCTCACAATCAAAGCTTCAGCGTGTCTTTTACAAGGACATGTACTAAATTGGATGTGACATGCTTTGACGCTGTAGAAATATGTCTTTTTTTGTGGAACACGTTCCTTGTAAATATTTTTAGTCAGGTCAGTCAGAAGTTGTTACCAAGCACAAGAAAAAGTGAGTACTTTTGTACAGCGTTCGTTGGAAACAAAATGTGCATCGTTCTCATTGCGGTACAGTCTGGGAAGCATTATGTGTGGAAAGTGCGGCTCCGCTTGTTTCTTTGTAATTTTAAGGTAATTGCACTGGTAAAAGTGCACTGCCTCGTCTGTCTGGCTTCTTCGTAATGCTGTAGCAGCAGTTTCCCTTCCCATCTAATTTGAAGACAGATTTATAAGCTATAGAGACCTTTTCTTTCCTTTTCCTTTTTAAAGTTCCTTACAGGCCCTTTACAGGGCATTGAGTAAGGGGGGTAATTGGTGAAGTTTTACAGATCACACAAAATTAATTCACGCGTTACAAAGCATATCAGCACAATGAAAATATGACGCGGTTTGCAATATAAGTTGAAGTTAACAGGCGATAACAAGAAAAAAGAAAAGGCGATTTCATAGTGCACACACGACAGTGGGAACCGAATACAGTCATTATAGCATATGGCGGCGACATCCACCAAAGATAGCCAGCTGGCTTTACCTCAACGACGTGCCATAATTTGTTTATAAGTTGCGGAACATACAATAGAAAAAGCACCAAAAAACGCAGAACCTATGCCCATATACAGAAAACATTTCCAGTGTGCAACAAACATAATCGGGCACAAAATCCGACACTAAAAAAAAAAAATGTGCATAACAGTGGCAAGTCTATTGTGAGAAGAGAGTAAGCAGCAACTGACGGAAAGAATTATTGTCTGATACAGATGCGATGTTATCTGGAAGACCATTCCACAAACGTATGGTGCGAGGAAGAGCAGATGAGCATCATCTGATGAGCAGATGAGCATCTTTGCACATAAGCATCATATTAATTGTGTCCGGTAAAATCGGAAGAGAAGTTCACAGTGCTTAAAATTTTCTTTTTTTACTGTGAAAACATAGGGAAAACGAGAATGTGCTTCAAAGAACAGATGAGACATGCACTGGTTTTACAAACTGCTTCTTCTTGCAGCAATCACTACAAATTCTAGCGTCACATAACTATGCATGTACATGCAAACATTGCGCATTGCATAGGTTAACACGAGAGACAGTTTACAAACATGTATGCATCTAAAAACCTAAAGACACATATTTGTTAACTTTCTCTATTGTTACATACACAATATTTGGCCTTGCAATGTGTTAGTAAGCACAGTTGTGCGATTTTGGCATTTGTATGCACTCGTGTTAGAAGAATAGAGCTGCTGTTAGTCGGCACCAGTGCCCCTCTCATCTCTTTTTCGCTGTTCATTCTGCTCTTCACTTAAGTTTTCACCTTAAAAAAGTCACAGTTTCACCGCAAGGGCAAAGCAATGAATGCGATAGTGAGAAATTGGAATTCCACATAGACATCAGCTAGGAGCTCAATACTTCCAGCATGCCTATGAAGCACAAAGAGGGACACTTGAAAACAATGCACAGGTATACACAGGAGATTCGGGAACGAAAAACTGCCATAGTTGTTACGAATTTGTGTTTGAGCAACACACTAGAAGTGTCGACAGTGCAGAACCTGGTGCACTAACACATTTCTTTATCTTTCAAAATTGCGTGCCAACTAAGTCGAACCAAAATGTTGTTGAAGGGCTAGAACTTGTGTGCTAAAATTGGCAGTGTGCGCATCTTTAACTCTGCTGATTAGCTGCGCTAACCTAGGAGCGTAAATGGCTCACTAAAGGTGATGGAAAAAAAAGCCAAGCCCACAGGACACTCATTCTTTCTGTGTTAAATTCATTGTATTTAACTTGCATTATATTGTTAGCCTATCTACAACACACTCCCTCATGGCAATATCCCAACCAGAGACCTTCGAATTAAAGGAATGAATCAGTGAATGAATGAATCATCGTGAAGTACCACGGGTACTCCATGCACATTATGTTAATGCGATAGCGTTAGAGAGCTCGTGTCGCAGAAAACCCGCCACTGGCATCGGCCTCGTTGGTTGTGAGCGAAGTCTGTGACCGAAAAATCAAGTTATCAAGATAGCCGCAGGAGACCACTACTTGTCCACGCATGCGCGCGCGATCACACTGAAAAAGTCGCGCGTTCGAAGAAAAAAAAAATGCTCAACGTCACAAGGCGCGGTATTTTTTGCCCTGCCACCCCTCCCTGTTTAGCTTCCAGCGCTTTCGAAACTCCACTCGGACTGGACGGATTCTTAAAATTTTTACGGCGTTGAATTTAAGAGGCAATAAACTCTTCTAGTGAATTAATTCAATGGTTACATAAAAATAGTGTTTGAGGGCCCCTTTAACGCATTTTGTTCGACAGGTGTCACGATGAAAACTAGCCCATTCGGCAATAATAGCTGGGGCTGGTCTAATCTACTGTGTGCGTGCTTGTGTGCATGCTTGTGTATATAACAAAACATATTAATAAGTATGCACTTAGCGGTTGAAGGGTGCACTAGGGGCCAGATTTCGCTATCGCGTTCAACTCTTAAAGGTGAAGCTTAAGGGTCCCCCAATTTTTGAAGTTCCATCTGATGCCTGGTGTACTGTTTCATGTTTGCATTCCACTGCGTGCACAGTTCTCTTCGTGGGAGTACCTGACACGACAGTTTGAGACGGGCCTGGGGCCCGACCGGTGGCAGCACTGGCACAACAGCGTGAACTTCACTTGTGGCTTTGCATCGGGCTGCATCAGCACCGTTGTGGCGCAACCTTTCGACGTCATCCGCACCCGTCTTGTAGCGCAGATGGAACCCAAGGTGGGTTGACAGCACTGCTGCTCGTGCGCCCTCGTGCCTTGAGGAATAATGCGATGATCATTGCGCGTGGCTCACAGGCCTATTTGCCTTTTCGCTTGATATCAAGATCGCAAAAGCAGCCGCACGTGTTGCTTCGCAAGAAACTTCGGTCACTTCAGTTGTTACTTTTCAAAATGAAGCCGAAAGCTTGTTTTTTAAATAGATGAGAATCTTTTGTTCATCACTGTTTGCATGTCTCTTGTCGCCCCCAACGCTGACCACACTCTGTCCCTGTCTAGTTTTTGTAAGCTGTGCCGTCCAGTTTAACAAAGGGGCAGTGCGAGTTTGTGCGTCATCACGTTTGCAGAAACATGGCACTGGTGTCCCAATCACCCAGGCGTTCCCAGGAGAAGGCAGGCATCAGTTGGAGAGCCCTTGATGGCTCAGGCGAGAAGGGGGTGATTTGTAATGCCAACTTATGCGAACTAGAGAACTCAAGAGATCAAATCGACATTCAGGTTTAGGCTAAAACGCTTGTAGAGAGTAGTCGCCAACTGCTAGTATGCTTGCCAAATAACCAGTTGTTTCTAGCTACAGAAAAACAATGTGAATAGAGGCGTAAGTGGAGACATTAGAGGCACATGTGATGTGATAAGAAAACTGAAACTTTGCATGCATAAAATGAAGCTCACTGACATTATAAGGGAGCGTACTTTGGAGAGTACTGGCAGGTGTCGTTTTCTGCAGTGTATGCGAGTTAAGCTGATGGTGATGACGTTTATCAAAGTTGCCCGTGTTCAGTCTCTTGGCCTATCTTGTTCGACATCATCAAGTCACTTTGTACGCTTGTGTGCAGACGTACCGCTCCATAAGGCAAGCGGTGAGCTGCATGTGGCGGCAAGAGGGCCCAACGGCCTTCTACCGCGGCCTGCTGCCCACCCTTCTGCAGATTGGGCCTCTGACGGGATTCCAGTTCGCCTTCTACTACTTCTTCGTCAACCTCTGGGAGTTGCTGCTCCACCCGGAGAGCCACGTCACCGGTACGCACACCTGGCGAAGAATTTTAATGAATATTGCATGCTTGTACTCTGTTGCGTGCTTAGAAGGTTTCACTTAACATGTCACATAGTGCAACTGTTTTTTTTAAACAAAGCTTCTATGCCCCACAAATGGGTCTTGTGGGTGTAACTGCAAAGAAATATGGCACTCGCAAGCACAAAGAAATTTTACCTGTGAAGGAGCGCTGGTCATATGCATACAGTAGACTCTTGTTACATGGAGTCTGAAGTGACTAGAACAACATGTTTCATTTAACAGGAGTCTTTACAGCGAAAGCTGTTATGAGATCACAACACGGGTGGCAAGTGCCTTAGTTGTCCACTGCCACCACCGGTGTTTGTAACCACCACCGCATAAAATGAGAAAAAAAAAAAAAACTTGGTAAATAAAAAACAACAAGGACACAATGGGAATCGAATGCGGGACCCCTGCATGCCAGCCCAATATTCTAGCACTGAGCCGTGCCTCTCTAAATAAAAACACGGGTGTCCAGAACCCTAAAAACAGTGTAGTAGTGCTTCGAATTCCTTGAATATATTTTTAATGCTGCTATCACATGAAAGCACTTCTGGTTTCGGTATCACGGTGATGCGTTAACACAAGTCTAATGTGAATGAAAGACTACAGTTTGGGAAATACTAGTTCCAGCTCTGTCATTTGTTGTCAGTTCCACGTGGTTCACGTAAACAAGTGTGAGTCATTAGTTGCTGACTGACTCCAGCAGCGATTTCTACAATTTAGACTGCATGCCAGACGCACACTTCGCAAACTCAATGAACATTGTTCACAAGCCGTGATAATGTCCACTGCGGCAGGGCTGGCTTGCAGATTCTAGGTGACGAAAACTTTAAAATCATATTAGTATATTCTATATGTGTTGTCTGGCTCTGCTGTGTGGAGAGTAATGACTGTGCATTTCATGAAAACAGAAATTGTCTCTTTTGGAGGGCCTTTTTAAAAATTGTCAGTATTGTTCTTTGTCGTGTCTTCAGAAATGCAGTTGGGAGGACTTGCAAATTCTATGGTTCAGTGTTTCACATGTATCACTGTAACTCATTGTATGAAATAGTGTAAATATAAATTGTCTTTACTATGTTTAATGCTTCAGATGTCTTTTATTTTCTTGTTTTAACTCGATATCGCTGGTAAACCTACTACAACTATTCATAATGGCTGTGCTCTCTCTGTCACTGCAACTTTGCATCTCGGTTGAGATGTGTCACCCAGCAAGTGTAGAGAATAGTAAAAAAAAAAAGTGTTCACTCGGGTAGTTGGAATCTACGAGTATGACATTAATCCTTCTGATGTTACTGTCAGGGCAACTCGGAAACTGACCCCTCGCTGAACCTGCTACTCCTAAGACACTGTAAATATGTGACAGTTCATGTACATCTCTTGTACCACCTCAGACAACTAAGTCAGAAAAGAGAATCGCAGGTACTATCGGCATCAAATGAAACCCGAACAGCGGCAAGCCTTCACAATGGTGCAGTGCCTGCCATCCAGTTATCATCATTGACAGGCGCGTGCATCCTGTTTGGCAGCTTCGTGCATACATGCGTGCCTGTCTATGGCGATAAGTGAACAGTGCGCACTTCACCATTGCGAAGGCTTGCCGCTGTTCGGGTTTCATTTGATGCCGATAGATCATTGCACTATCTATGTAGGACATGATTTTCAAGCACACCCAAGTTACTGGGTTGTAGTCACAAATAGTTGCGCAGGGGCCGGGACAGTGAAGAAGATTAAATGAGAGGGGAGGGGAGTGCTGAACGAAAAGTCACATAACGCTGCCATTTAAACAATGCATATATCTCATATAGTGTGAATAATTTCTGTGGGGCATTACACACCAGGTTTCGAGAAACGTGTTTGTACTAATCACTTGAACCTGTAAGTCTATTCTCGAACACGAGGTTTTGTTCCACGGTTGTGTTCCAAGACATGGTGGTCATGTAGGTTTTTTCAAAACTTACAAAGAATGCTTGATAACAGTCACGTCTCTGCACCTCATTCAGATAAAGCATTAATAATCGCAATAGGTGAGTAGATGAGATAATTCAGCTAAGTCGCAAATATATATTCCTTGCGAGACTTCTAGCAGAACGTCTACGGGTTGCGTGTGTGAGACTCCTGATGTAAGGGCGTACTTTACAGGGGCAACACAGGTCGAGTTTCTCAAAATCAGTGGTACATTGTACATGTCCTGCTTCATGGTAATGCAGTCATGGCAAGTCAGTGTGGCAGGTCTATCAGTGCTTTGAAAAGCATAGAACTGTTAATGAACTCTGCTGCGGGCACATTTGACAAAAAAAGAATAGTACCTCCTTTTTGTTGTGTTCAAAATATTGTGAATTCAAGACTGAGCAAAAAAAAAAAATGAGTGAAGCTATGAGCAAGGACAGGCTGCAGGAATTTGGATAGGATGATCTAAACAGCAAACCAAAGTCGTGAAAAAAATCAGCATTCTAGGAGGAAATTCTGAACAGGAAAGCTAATAGGGAGATCTAAAATTGTCATTTAGTACATAGTACTAAGTTCTCATATGGATGAAATAGTTACAATCCTACATCGATGCCCATCCCCCCCCTAAAGTTAGCTTTTGTGTATCTGCATTTTCTGTGTTTGCAGGAGTGAGCCAGAGTGTGGCCTGCGGAGCGCTTTCTGGCTTTATGTCCAAAACACTTGTCTACCCTCTAGATCTCATCAAGAAGAGGCTGCAAGTAAGTTTCGTGCCGATTTTTTTTTTTTTTTTTCACGGCTTGAACAATCGCCTATTGCCACACAGTTGTGTACAGAGACATATAGAATATGTTATTTCAGGGGCGAAAAATTTCGCATTCGAGCACCTGTCTGTGCGTGAGTGCGTACATCACACATACGCACACATCATGTCAAGTATGACATCAACGCCTTGTCACATGACTTTTGGAACGAAAGTGAAACTATTTGGCACTAAAGTGAAAGAGTTGATAAATTTTTATTGAGAAATTATTTTTTGAGGACTCTATTGCTGTTTATTTCACCATCAAACAGTAATAGAAGAGAAACTCAATGCAAAATCGTTATTCTTGAATTTCATTCCAAAGAGGATATCGACACGATGCCATGAATTTAAAGCAACTTTTCACGTTTTTGGCATATTGGCTCAACAGAATCTGCTTAAACTTGGTACAGTTACTCTTTGGGCCACTGAAATGTGCTTCATTTTTACCAATTAAGAGCTGTGTATGCTCTTACAGATATACACTCAAGCCTCATTGTAACGAAGTTGCATCTTATGTAAAAATAAGCTTGTTAAATTCAAAAATTTGTTATGAAGATATTTTTTAACACCTCTTGCCTGAATATTTTTCATTTACTTCATTGTAACTGATATTTTGTTATATCTGTGCTTTTTATATCGAGCATAGAGAATGTAGTTGAATTCTAAGATGTTGCAGTGAGTTGGTGAGGCAACTTCAAGGTGGTGTCGCCACATGAATTTTCTTGCTTACCAAGCATCTTCCCTCAGCAAGCATGACGATTTCTGTACTGTTGCGAAAGAGTAATTCGCTGATATAAAAAGAATCTTTCTATTTAACGTCTCTTCAACATTTTTCTTTTTATGAGCCATGTCACACTCGCATTAACAAAATAAAACTTGAGTCTTTCCGCAGCTTTACTGGACGTGCACTTTTGGAGGGCCAGGATAGTCAGTCATTTCTGTTGATGATGACATTGCTAACTTCTGTTCTCTCTCTTTCTCATCCCTCTCGCAATGCCAGGTGCAGGGCTTCACAGCGCACGGCGTCCAGTTTGGCCGGTACACTGGCTTTGTCCACTGCATACGCTGCATCGTGATGCAGGAAGGCGTGCAGGGCTACTTCAAGGGCTACTTGCCCAGCGCCTTCAAGTCCATGGCCACCACTTCGTGCTACTTTGCCTCGTATGAGGCTGCCTGCGAGATGTTCCGGCTAAGGCATGGAATACACCAAGGAAAATTTTTAGGGGGCAGTGACGATTGAACCTTCTGTAGACCTCTGGAATACCCTTTTTTTTTTCTGCTGCATGTGGGTGTGAGGGCCCACTACAACAGGACGACTGTGCTAAACAACAGGAACTGTACTTGCAAGTCTCCCTCGCATTCTGTATAGACCATACCAGCAACAGAATGAGTGTTGTGTGAATTGGCTGCTTGCTCATTGCGGCTCCAATTCCACATAGTGCTTAAGTTCAGATCATTCAGTTCTTGGTTGCATGTGTTTCGTTCATAGTAGAGCAGAAATGTGTGCCTTCTGTTGTGCTGCAGCTAAACTAAATGTGCGAATTGGCTCCAGTATAAAACAGTGCCGTCTTTCACAGCTAAGGTGAAGCGCATTTTTCAACGCAGCGGTCATGGTTAACTGAATATTTTTGTTGCAGTGCATGATAAATAGCTGTATTTATTCTATAGCTCCCATATTTATTTCACATAGCTATCATTTGTAAAGAACTGAATTTCTTTGAACTGTATGTGAAACTGGGAGTTTGTGATTATAGTTGTGTTATCTTAATGCTAATTAGTTATTGTTTTGTATCTGTATGCTCATGCTTTAGTTCTTAATTAAAGACTGGTAGTGTCAGAAGGCTTTGTTTTGAGTCATCCTTCTGTCTTTACTTCTGTCTGGCCTATTTTTGTCATTCTGGGAATTAAACCTCATTAACATTTCAATTAACACTGTTGTTATATTTTTGCCCTTGCCACAGATTATTCACATTCGAACCTTACTGTGTATGAAACGGGCACACTGTGGTTGTAAATGTGCTATTACTAAACTAAGCCCGCTGCAATAAGCTAATTGTGAATAAACTTTTAGTGATATTCAGCTTGTATTTTAGCTGCGTATGCTGTGTGCAGTTGGCACCTCAGTTTTAGCAATGCTCAGTATCCCTGTTGCATGCGCATGTAAAACTTTGTTGGGCATTATGCAACGTTGCGTAAAGGCCCTCTGTTTATGTTTGTGTTGACAACCGGTGTGAAAAGGTTACCTTAACCTTAGGTTACCTTAAAGTTACCTTAACGATAGTTGTAGAGGCAGTATGTTGGTTGTGTTGGAGTGAGTGATAACGCCTTTCTTTCGGGCATTTTCTTTTTTTTTTTTTGAATACGTGTTTTTAGCGTGTAGCAGACATTTGAATTTGAAAGTGAGGGCGAAGCACAAGAATGTTTTGCATAAATTCAAAGCTGTTGAGTCATTCCCTTTTTTTCTTACAATGGGCATCGCAGAGATGGGAGAGTGCACGCTTTTATTAGTGTTTATGTTCCTGCAAGTCACTTGCACTGAGAGAGGCAAGCAGTTTACATATGTTCATAGAATGCATCCGCAGCACTCCCAACTTTTTAGCATTAGGGTGCTTATCCTTTGTTCTTGACTCTAAAATATGCATGACAAATTCTTTACTGTTTTACTAGCAGCACACATATGCCTCATACTATTAATCAAGTCAAAGTTCCAAGCATATGTGTGGTTTTTCATAGTGTATCTGCAGCTTAAGTGGCCCAATGTTCACTCAGTTAACCTGCAATTAACCCTCCACCCTAGAAACCATGAGTTATCAAGGAAAATTTATTCATGCTGTATCTTACTGTATTGTGCTAATTAGGCCTTGTTTCCAGCACCTCTGATGGATTGTGTCTGTACAATTGTACAACATGTTTTTGTCAACTTCCCTGTCAAAGGCCACAGTTCATAGCCTTGTTAGGTAAAGAACTGAGGTTACATTTGATATATTTGATATGCAACACACATAGTTGCATTGTTTTGCTTTGGTATTGTTGCGTGATAGTGATGTTGCCATCAGAAGTCAGGGTTCACTCTCAGTGTTTGTTTATTTCTCTAGGCATTTTGGCTTGCACTCTTGTACAGCATCACACCTTCGTCGCTTAGCACTTTCCTACATTGAATATATATGCATCAAAGGCCACAGTTTATAGCCTTGTTAGGTAAAGAACTGAGGTTACATTTGATATATTTGATATGCAACACACATAGTTGCATTGTTTTGCTTTGGTATTGTTGCCTGATAGTGATGTTGCCATCAGAAGTCAGGGTTCACTCTCAGTGTTTGTTTATTTCTCTAGGCATTTTGGCTTGCACTCTTGTACAGCATCACACATTGCTAAGCACGACTTCGTCGCTTAGCACTTTCCTACATTGAATATATATGCATAGCCAAGTGAGAATGTGTGCAGCTCAAGCATACTGAACTGTTGTTTATGTGCAACAGCTTTAGCATCCTCTTGAAGATAGGACGCAAAAATATGGCACTGTCTTATGCAAATACAAGGAGTACTCACTGTCACTTCTGATATGCTAAAAATTACGTCATACACTATGCCACTGCGGGCGCTCTTCTCACTACGGTATTGTTATCACTCCTTGAGTAATTGGGAATATGTACGGTGTCGAAACAACGCTGCATTAGCAAATTACCTCAAACAATGCACTGAATCTAAAGAATACGCCGTGAAGAAAAGAAGTTAGAGGTGCTAGGCCTCCAAATATAAATATCACTTCGTGCCGTATTACTGAAGCTCCACAATCGCAGAATCACTTTTGTAAGCTCTACTGCAACACATCTGCGCATTGCTGTGAAATGTATTAATAAGGAATAGAATTGCTGAAAAGGAAAGCTTGCTACCAGAGTTCCACATGTGTTATTATATTACGAATATCCGAAATATTTTCCAATGCCCTCTGGATTTGATTCATGTTCAATTGTATACTGTTGACGTAAACCTTCAAAGTTTCCCATTTGTCATGTTCTAATTACGAATTTACTTCAATTTCCTAATCTCTGAGATTATGGAAGGAAATGCAACATTATGTGTATGCACACTTAACAAGAGGCTCTTGCTATTGTTTTCCTGTATACGGCGTAGTATTGTAGCACTGTTCGCGGCTTGTAAACCTATCATTGGTTCACAAGCAAATAGTCCACAATATCATCAAGCAACATTGCAAGACCCTGGTTCATTGGCCATACAGCAGTTTGAAGCATAAGCATCTTCAGGAAGGCATAAGTTTGTTACAAACTTAAGATCATATTGGGACAGCATTTTGCAGCACTTTTGTGGCATAGATAGCACATGTACTATGTTACTGCAAGTGTGCAAGTCAATATGTGCATGCACATAATGACTTGCACTTAATGGTATGCACATAATGTCATACCAGACAAAAGGTACGAGTGCATACCGTGCGTGTGTCCTATTCTGAATCTGGTAAGTGTTACTTCTGTGTGGTTCTCTGAATCAATCAACTTCAGTGGGTTGTACTGTAAGAGACCGTATTTGAAATTATTTTGCTAGTGCACTTTGTGTACTTTGTGACTCTGAGGTGAACTCTTAGTTTGAATTATGTATCCATGGTCGTACCAATTGTCAATCTTGTGACATGGTCAAGTTGCATTTGTTTGTGTGTTCTTTATTGTGTGGCATAGCGGTAGAGGGTTCCAGCGCGTGTCCCTTGTTTTTCTATGCATTCGTCACTACTTACACAGATGTTTGCCCCATATTACCAATAAAACTAATACACCAATTACCAATGTACCTGGAAATAGTACCTTATGTTTACTCTGACAAATATGGGACAAAATTGGCCATAAATGCGGTAAATGTTCTCTTCGGGGAGCGAGAAACTTAGTTTAATTATCGCGGTAAACGCTGTCACGTTTCATAGAGCTCATTGCATGTGAAAGCATTAGAACACTTTGTTCATGTTTCATATGCGAGAGGAACCCATGTGTTTTTGTTTGTGTTTTACAAGACATGGTTTGTCGCTTATGTGTACCAAAGATCTGCGCACATTTTTCATGCTATTCAGTCTTCGTGTGCTTCGTTGACTTCTCTCTTTTCCCAGGCGTTTATGCCTTTTTCTTTTAGCACTAACATTAAGATATGCTTGCAGCTTAGGTATTGACATCCGGCACATGTTAATAAGCCAGGCATTCAGGTGGCAAACTGCAACGAAGACTGCCCTGTTCTCTGTTCAAGCCAAATGGCGATTGTCAAAAGCGAACAGTAGACCTGGCAAAGGCGAATAAAATCCCCTCTGGTTTCTGAATAATGTTTAAATTGCACCTTCAGTCTTGTCAGTAGACATTGTTGATGTGTGCATGTATTAGCTTGGCTCTATGTAGTGCTGCTACCATACTTTCCTGTACTGTAATTCTACCAAGCGTTCATGTGCAGGTCCACATTTTGTTGTTCTTCTGCATCACGCTTGTCCAGGTGCTCTTAAGGGAGTCCTTCACGTGATTCATAGGGCATCCATTCACTGTTAGCTGGACTACTGGATAATATGTCTAGTGCAGCTGCATTAAACTGTGATAGCATGTATGCATGTAGGTAGCAGTGGACGCTGTATCAGCTGGGCTCTTTGTGTTTGTGGTTACACAAAAGGCTTTTTGTGTAACCAAAACCATGTAATAAATTCCTAGAGCAGCGTTGTTTGTTTTCAATTTGTGGCTTTTTTTCTCCATTTCCTGGCACATTAGATAGAGCACAGAGGGCATTAAGGCATGACACTCAATTGTTGCCCATACTCTGTGTTACGAGAGTTAATCCTTGTGTGTTCACACATAAATATGTGCAGGGTTCTCCATCAGGTGGGGTGAAGGTCAATTGTAGCAGCCCCCTCCTTATTAGGTCAATGTATGGGGCTGACTTATCCCCCCCGCCTTGTGCTTTCCTTGTTTACACCCCTATGCGTTCACCAAACAAACTGGTGAAGTGTTAACACATTTATTCGAGCTCTTCATTTGTAATTGAATACCTTTATAAAAACATGAGCAGCCCAAAATTTTGGTGGGGCAACATAGGTGCCCTTGCAAGTTATGATGCAACAAGCTGTGCGTGTGAAGGTACAGCTCATCATGTATACCTGTTGTAGCCCCACTCAATTTATCCCTGAAGACATTACTAAACGCGGTAATGTCCACAGGCAATTTTTGTTGAGTAGCACTATCCTACCCTAGTCCAATGAAAAATGCGTTAACAGTGGTTTTGTCGAAACGGCGACTCGACACAACCCCTGTATACAGATGTTTCATCGCAAGCTTCAATCTTCACCCACCTGCCTACCGTTTTTTGGACTACGATAGTCCAGCATTCATACATCATTCTCAATGGCTTCGATCAAATAGTCAACATTAATAAACAATGTGCATAATCAGGGATCCTTTATGAACTGCACATTTTAGGGCACCACATAAGCGTTTGAGTCGGGGGGGGGGGGGGGGGGGGGGGGGAGGACCTGAAAGGTCCAATCACCTGGCATCAGCTCAACCCATGAGATGCCTTTTCCCCGAACACAACTCGGCCACACACGGCTAGGCATAGGGGGAGGTCTAACCCTCCCGTTGGCTGGGGTCCGTGGTGATGCCGCTCACCAAACGCCCGCCTTTGCAGACGCCCCTGCAGGGTAATTTCACGAAAAGACCATGTGCAAATGCCCATAAGAACTCTTTACAATAGGTTTTGTAAAGACAAAGGAATGCAGGAACGTATGCAAAGCAATGAAATTAGACTACTACAAGCACTAGCAGGCTATACTTCACTTGGGGGCGAAATTAATACCCTTGGGCTTAAGTGATTACCTAAGCACTATCGCAGTGTAGTCGAACATATTTTTCATTAGAGTCAACAGTACGTGATACTACATATTGCATTTCATAAATAAATCGGAATATTTCTACAATAGCAGACATCCCAAAACACAAAGCAAGGCACGTCGTCCAGAATGTAGCTTTCTTTTCTTTTAATTTATATTCATTGAGACCTTCCTTTTTGTCACGACAGCCATTCTGATGCGGCCTGATCCTCAGCTGATCCATATCTGTTTATACACGTAAAATCTTCAAACAAGAAATGTTGTTGGGGGTAATTTTCGACAACTGTTCTTCATCACAACAGAAAGCGCTTCCCCTAGCAGCACGTTTATGTATCCCTCGCTCACTGTCCCCACCCTCGGTGGAAGAGAAGTATAAGCATGTGCACAAGAAAGAAATCACAGCATATTTATGGAGTGAATGAGTGGGACGAAACATCTGTCCGTCTGCCTGCCCGCCCGTCTGTGCGTTCGTTTGTGGATCTGTCCGTCTGTCTATTGGTTTGTCTGTCTATCTTTAATACTGTCGATTAAGGCTGATGCAGGACATTGTTAGACTAAGAGGAGCTTCACCCCTAAAAACGAAAATGCGAGTAAAGATGGAAGGGCTAGAGTGCCAAATAGAGGTTTGTTTGCAATTCAAGTTTTGCGAGATGTGAACCTTGCTATTTTAATGTCAAGGGTATACATGGGAATGGAGTCGGGTTAGACATCATAGCCCCAGTACAGTTTCCTTCGAAAGGTGCCATAACCATGGCAATTACATGCCATAACAATGATATTACGTACGTGCAAATATAAATGCAACAACTACAAGACCAAATCGAGCTAGTGGGCACCTATCATCCAGAATATGTTAAAAGTGTAGTGACACAGAGCTTTGAAGGTGAGATAACTTGACATAAATTTTCTATGTGTAATGTAGCCTAGAACATATTTCAATCAACTTTAAAATATGCCGTAGAACTGAGCACCTCGTAATATCACCATTAACATAGTTTGAATGTAAACAACCAAGAACTGCTGACATCACGAGTTTGTTTTGGCTGCTACGCTCTGTGTGTGCACTCTCTCCCAAAGTGGCTCTCGCCATAGCGTTCACGTGGACATCAGCTCGATCACGTGGCAAGGCCGTTACTGTTTTGCGCTCACATGGCCAACTCTGTTTGCAATAAAAAGAAGAGAGACAGAAAGAAAAAAATGCACTGGGCTCTCTCTCACTGTTCTCTGAAACTGAAATGCGACGCCACAAAAACGTTCTTAAACAATCACCTTCCCACGCTTGAGAAAAAAAAAGAAGGCGTAATAATCATGCACCAGTACTCTTTCGATTGCGCTGTTGTACGATTTTTAGAAGCACGCAAACAAATTCAACTAGATTGTTTTATGCATAACACTTGTCTACAGTGAAATATCATTAGCCCTGAAGATGCCTCCTAAACTCGTTCAAATTAAAGTTACTTCATGCGGAGTGTCACAGGGGGACTTGCAATTAATTTCGTAATTGTCATGTATTCCACATACTCAACTTCATTCTAAACTTTAGACACACTAAAAGTTTCATTCTAATACCACTGAAGTGTGTTGAAGCACCTCAATCCTACTTTTGGAGCGCTTGGTTGACTGACGGCACATGCAGGTACCTACCATTCAAGCAAAGCATCGTACAAGAGACAAGGAAGCAGCACTTTGCAAAATGAACTCGTTTTCTCAATTGAAGACAGGTGAACACTGCTGCATCATGCAATCTTACTTAGCACAGTTGAATCAAATGGAATAGCTGCACTGCCTTTGTGTATAGAGTATCTTGGACTGAATCGTCAAGTGTATAGTGACAATTTTCTGACAGCTACAACAATAAACATGCTCCAACACCACTATAGTGACGTCACAACATGTATCTGTGATATGAAATAGCCCATAACAGTTGATGCCGTAAAGTAACAATATTTAATCAGGGTACATCTACAGAAAACTTTACAGAATGTAGTTCTGCCTGGTGATTTTGTTCAAGTGCATCATAGTTATAGTAGTGAAACAGTGTTCGTAAACACCAAAATAGCTTTATAATGAAAAGCAGATCCGCAATACCTTTTTTCGAGCCCTCGACGGCGAGCACATTCTTTCATTTATTTTCTCAAAAGTCACTCTCAGTAACTGCCTCATGAAATAATAAGAACTCTTATTATACACAGTAAAATGAAAACTAGTAGAAGTCTTAATGACGAACCTTGCTGTCACCAACTCCAATAAGACGACTGCTGAAAACATCTACATCATATAACAGACTATTGATAGACATGTGGGGTTTAACGTCCCAAAACTGCCATATGATCATGAGAGACACCGTAGCGGAGGGCTCTGGAAATTTCGACAACCTGGGGCTCTTCAACGTGCACCCAAATCTGAGCACATGCATGGCCTACAGCATTTTCGCCTCCATCGAAAATGCCACCGCAGCAGGGATTCGATCCTGCGACCTGTGGGGCAGCAGCCGAGTACCTTAGCCACTAGACCACCGCGGCGGGGCCATGTAACAGACTATGTGTGCTAAAGCACACTTCGCACATACTCACACAACCAAATCACAGTGAGATAATCAGAGAACATACAACACTTTTTACATAATTTTTTACATTTAATCAACATTATGTATTCTAGCATCACAGATGAACAATTTACATTAGTAACTCGGCAAACAAATTAAGCTCACATTCAACATAACAACTCAGCGCTACTGCAGGGGTGCTTGGTTAGGTGACACAATGCATTAACCTTGAGGTCTTAGCATACAAATGGCTGTCATAGTGTACAGTATGGGACATTATTGAAGGAAACATGCCATCTGTGCTCTAGCCAGTACAATTTGAATGCATTAAGTACTGAGGGGAGATTGTGTTTAATGTGACAGGCTTTCACAACTACAAGGTATAACCTCAATATAACAAACGATAATGTATTATGTATAAGATGCAAAACAATGTAGCAAAACAACTTTCAGCATGATTAAAACATGGTGAGTCTAAGTATATAAAATGGGTTTACAAATGTATGTTTGTGTTCTATGTGACTTTTACTACGGAAATCGTGTAATATTATAAAATATTAGTGCTGAGGTTTTCACATCTAAACAGAGTTGTAGCCAGTCCCTATATGCTAATCAGATGTTCCTCTGAACAGCGGAATATACTGCTACGTAAGCACATTTATGCCGTGTGACCACCTATCACATTTGAGAAACACAGCAGAAACAGCCCGATAACATGAAAATCACAGGATGTAAGATCGCTTGAAATATGCCAGTTCCATGAGGTAGAAATACAGGCACACAACTTAACAACCAAGAACAGTCGTATCCTTAAGGCAGCACGAATCAAATGTAAACAAAAAAAATGAGACGGCATGATGCCTCTAAGGGAGTGTCCCGCGGGGGGAGCAATAGCTGACAAGGATGAAACATGTAATTCTTTCAGCCAACAGTAAGAGCGCTGCTAGCCAAACTGATCGTATCAATATGGGTATTCAGAGGGACACTAAAGCAAGAATGACCCTTTGGTATTTCACTAATGCTCCTTTTGCTACTCAACTGATGTTTCTTTGGAAGGAATGACTGCAAACTAAACTTAATGGACATACATAACAAAATTCGATCATTTTGTAAGCAATATTTTGCACAAAAAGTGACGAGAATATAAAAACAAAAAGGTCCGTAACAAGAAGACTTCACGCAATAAAAAGTGAAAAAATGAGAAATGTATCCAGAGCCAATACTTCTAGAAAGCAGCTGGTTTGTGAGGGCACTCGAAGGAGCATATCTGCCTATCAGCACTTTGGCTCGTGAGCTGAGGCTTTCTTTCTTTACCTACAGTCAATCAATCAAGGCACATGCAAAATCACCAATAAACAAAACCCAACTTTGAAGCTTACTCAAGTCCAGTCTTTACATTTAGTCTCTACGGTTATGCTTCTAAGTGGCTGCTATTACTACACAGAATTATCAGCTAACAGTTAGTGGCAGTGTATTCGATTGTATCTTTTATCTCGGTTTTGTCTGCACAGTTATTCATTCTTTCACGATTTGTACTCCACTCAATGATACTGAGGCAAGAAAAACGAGAATTCTCCATTGCAATATGGATTTCTAAACAATTTCTCGAGTCTCAAAAGTGGTTTGTTGCTGAGCAGATGTCATTCTGCAAATTTTAGCCAATACAACCCTGTGACCAGACTTCACCAGGATTTTTCTTTCGCAAATAGTGCTTCCATCCCACAATGCACTGTTGATTTCTACATTTGATGGCCAAAGAATGAATGAATGCTGACTACAATTCATGCCTTTTTTTTTTCACTAGCAGTGCCATATATTTACGAGAGCAGGTACAATCGTTAATACCTAAAAACTTCACTCGCAACTACTCAGAGCTATTCATGACTTTGCTACGGCCATAATAGCAATAAGTGTGAATGTATCCCAGCTTCCTTTTGTCACATGCTAATTTTCCATACAGTGATACGAAATTTGAATGATAGGATTATTTTTAGAGACCCCGTTTGGAAACAACTACTCCAACTGGTTAATTTCCCTGCAGGGCAGCTGTGCGAGTATTCACATGGCAATAGCACCTAGTGCACATTAACTTACTTCGTAGCAATGACTGCAACAGATTGTAGCAAAGGTGCACATTTTGAATACTTGTGCGCAAAGCAGTACCATTATCTCTCAGAATGATTATTATGGTTTTCATTACTATAAAGGTTTTTGTGTAAGGCTCAATTTAAGGTACATTTTTTGGCTAGGTATCTGCCAAGTGGTGGCGCTGCACTCAGTAGATGAATGGGCAAATTGTTTTGCCCATTCAAATGTCAGTTACACTAGACCAAGGTCTCCCAAGATCGGTTGGTGGACAACCGCAGTTAGTGGACATGCCGCCGTTCTATGTGAAACTGCAGTCACCGAGTTTAGCAATGAATGCAGTTACCCTCATCATAGGTAAGGTCACTGGTGTAATGTGAGTGTATTATGTACTCGCTTTGCAATTATTACGTGTGGTTACTATTTGCCTTGCCAATTTCAATGCAAGTGCCACAGCCTATGTTGAAAACAGCAAACGTGTGAGCGTAGGGCTCCCTTCTTTTTTTCTGCTAACTTGGTGGCAGAGCTGAGACTGCCAAAAGCAACCAAGTTATAAAAGCCAGAGCTCATGTTCTTAGGCATCAAGATTCAATTTGCACATAGAATGTCTTCAACGCAGACTCGAGCAACAGGGCAAAAGACAAACAAATTTGGCTTCCAACACTACTTTATTCTGAGAAAGCAGACATCTTCCTTTGAATTCGAGGCGCTTATCTCTTGCATGAGAAATGTCATCAATTAGTGACACTGTTGCATTCTGCCGGGAAGCGTCGCTGCAATTGCAGGATGACTTGGAAAGCCTAAAAACAATTTCGCAACTAGAAGATAACGCAAGAAAAATGACAACAGTACCTCATGTATCACACATCACTTTTAAATCATGTAATAATTAAACTAAATCCACTGTTGACTCTTTCATGCAGAAAAACTTTTCCTTTTTTTTTTTTTTGCCGCCAAGTTTGCACACTCAAGTAAAACAGTCAGCAAAAATATGCTTGTCCATTATTGCACTACATATCAAAATTCTCATCGAAATTCTTTAACAAAGCGCTGTTTTTAGCGAAGCCTCCTGATATGTACATAAGTGCAAACAGATTTAGCTGCCTCTCAAATAACACTAAATATACCTATGAAATGTGCACACAGTACACAGAGAACTTGTGCACACCAAACACGTATAGCTTGTGGCAAGCAACAACTGCGACCCACTTTTCTGTGTTCCAACAAACATCATTGTACAACAATGCAATGCATCGGAGGTATACACAGAACACATGCAGTGCTTAACTATGTACAAATATATTACACAATAAATACTAAAGTGCACAGCTTTGCTACTCACAGTTGTTCATGAAGGGCATTCAAATGATGTTATGCACTCTACACCTTCACATACCTTACCTAGCCCATCCCCGTTAGGAACTTTGTCTCGGAGAGCGAGCTGAATGAACGCATTTCTCCCACCATGAGACGTTGTAAAAAGGCCTAGGCGCAGCACATTGCTAGGAAGAAAACACGAGCACACGGCCGTCGTCCGTTCCAACAACGCACGCCATGGAGCCGGAGAGCTCGGCTATGGCGACACTTGTTGAGCAACGATACCACATGTTGGCCACTGGGTTGCCAGTGAAGAGATTCCATATTCGCACGCCGTATCCCCGAGCGACGCAGGCCACGTAGCGACCTTTGACCTGGGTACTACACGACCTGCACGAGAGATTAAATTCCAAGTGTGGGCAAACTGACACTTGGAACTGTGAGTGACAACACCAGTTTATCTGGTGGTGTCGCTCGCAGCTGCAAATATACATGGCTCGCTGCACATTACTTGAATCTGAACCTATCCTAGGTAGGTCACTTGCCTAAAGACAGTACTGTATAATCTCGCGACCATAAAACCTGCCTTTAGTGAAAAATTATGCGGCTTAGAAAACCAACACCCGACTTTCGGACTTCCCAGGTACCATGGCATACGACAAAGGCCTAAAAAGTTAATGCAACCCTTTTCACTACCCTTAGGAGGGGGGGGGAGGGGGGTGAAATTAACGTAGTCGCACCTAAAATAGGTCTATAAAAAATTCCAGCAAACTTATTGGGCATTTCAGTACAGACACTGTAACAGAAAACAACAGGCACACACATTCCAATTAAACGACACATACTGTGCCCCATTAGAGTAGGGATTTCCCATATTTTGTATCAGCACTTCACAAAATGTTGCATGCACTTGGCCGCACAACACCAAAGTAAAAGCAAAACCAGATTGCAAAAAATTATGACATCCAAAATTTCACTTCTTTTTACACATTTTTTATATGCAAAAGCCATTTCACAATGAGGGGAAAACTCGCAGCACATTACAATGCACTACAAGTTTCTGACCCCCCCCCCCAAGTGTCAAACAGCCTAATAATAATTATAACTGGGTTTTCACATCCCAAAACCACGATGTGATTATGAGAGACGCTGTAGTGGAGGACTCTGGAAATTTTGACCACTTGGTGTTCTTTGACGTGCGCTGACATCGTACAGTACACGAGCCTCTACCATTCCACCTCTATCGAAATGAAAACCTCCGTGGCTGGGATAGCACCCACAACCTTCAGGTCAGCAGCCAAGCATCCGTGGCCACCGATTCAACGAGGCAGGCAGCATCAAACAGCCTGACAAGGCATTACTGTGAAGGCACTTAAATGACTGAGGATGCCTTAAAAATTGGGCACCACTACACTATTCTGTTAGAGAAGAAAGAGGGTACGGTGTTAGTAAATCCCAAGGAGCATGCTAGGATTTCGTGGATAAGCCCTGCAGGTTCGAGTTAGTATTGCATGGGAGCACTAGGTGGTTGCCCAAAATGATTTTTTTTTTTCCGGTACCTTGAGCCTCCAGTATGTTGTTTAGCAGCCAGTTTCCAGGACAAGCTTGTAACCGGCTCTGCTTTACAGCTGAATGGGTTCATGGCCACCAGCGTGGTGTCCACCTCGTCCAAGGACTGCATCAGTACAAACAGCAGGCCCTGCAAGGCATTTGCACAATGGAAGACGAACGAAGAATCAAGGGGCAATCTTTCTCATTTAATTGCACCACACCTGTCGGAGTGGCCAATGAAGCCGCTTGCTCATCCATTCATGGTAATGTGAGGGAAACCACTACACTCAAACCTCAATATAATGAACCTGGATATAACGAAGTAAATAAATAGACTTGCAATAGATAATGTGTTAGGAATAAACCTTCATAATCAATTTTAGGATACAACGAACCTTTTTTCGTGTAAGATGCCACTTTGTTATAATGAGTTTTGAGTAGAGTGACAGAAAATTATCTGTGCAAATCATTTCTGCGAAATTCTGAGGAGTGGTGGAAGAATTAAGAAATGGAAATTGACAGCCATCTGTTTGTCGCACAAAGCCACAAGAAGTCCACATAGATTTTCCAGAAATATGTATGGATTTCTCTTTGGCTTGATGCTAAGATCAGTTGGCTGTTAGTTTCCCTTTCTGAGAACCATCTTACCATTCAGACACTGCAAGCAAACGTAATGGATGGCCTTAATGTTAATGATAATTTTACTGTGAAAGAAATGAGTGTAATGGTGCAAGCAGTAAATTAATGATTGGCACAGTTAACATACAATTTTCCAGACTCTCAAAGGACAATTAAAATGTCCGGAAAAACAAATGCACGCAAAAACACACCTTTTATTACAGGTATTTCTTGCTGACGGAGAACGTCATCGCAGGAGTCTAAGATTCTCGTAGCAATCCTCCGAATTTACCATTTAGGTGGCTCTGAAAAGAGCTGTTTAATTTTTAAAGGAAAGGAAACGAAAAAAAATGGGCCCATATCTGCATGTTTCACTGCAAATGTTGTCGAAAGATGATATTCTTGCATCTGGAGAGAGTTAACAAAAGGTTTATTTGATGTTGTGCGCAAGAAAATTGGCGATTGGTATTCTGGAAGCGCTGCATTAGAGAGTCTCGGTCCGTGCAGCGAAGGCGAACGAGCGCATGAAGGAACAAAACGAGAGCTATCTGGCAGTTATCTTCGAAAATGAAGGAAGGCGTATGCGCCCGGCTGATAAGGTGTAGAACGCAAAGCGATGGGCCGGTGCCACCCACCGTGTCGTCATAGCAAAGCATTGGAAACACTTGCCTTTTTGAGCATCGCATTGCATGGTCTTTAAAGTTACTTTCCATGCCTTTTCTAGTATAAAGACACACATACAAAATAATGACGTGTTGTTATGGCACCTCAGATATGCAGAATAATTGTTTTTTAATTGAGTATCGCACAAGTATGAACGCTGAAGCTTGAGCAGTATTGGTGGGCGCTGCGGATGAGGTTGGCCGTTTGGGGTATCATTTGGTGCGGTTTGGGGTATTGTTACGGCGGACAAGCAGACAAATGTACAGATGGACAGAAAGACACAAATCAAAATTTTTGCGTCAAAGTACACCAAGAAAGACTATAGTCTTTAAAAATCCTACGTGGCCAGCACTACTTCATTGGTCAACACTTTGGGCCAAAACAGTCGCTTATTTTCTTTTGCACGGCATTCCGCTTGCCCACGATAATGTCTGCCTCAATTTCAGTCAACCTCATGCTGTCGCTGTACACCGATGACAGTGTGATCAGTGCTCGTGTCAACTCCGAGCTCGTTGCCTGTGTAGGTGCTGCCTCTTCGATCTCGGTGTCGGAGTCTTTGGAATCCTCAGTAAATCAACAAATTATTTCATCATCAGTCAATTCGGCACAAAGCTTGAGGCTTGTCAGTGTCGCAAAGTCCTCAAAGGTTATCCCGGCTGGAGTCGAAACCGTGGCAGCATGCGGATCGTCAAACGCAACATCCGAGGACGGGAGTTCGTCACACATGCTGTCCACTCCGAGCGATACGGCTCTCTTGGCTAATTTTCTTGATGAAAAGCACAGCGCCAGACAGATAAAATGTGAATGCTGAAGATAGCATTCAGCAGCGCACAATCTACTGTAGAGTTGACAGAACACGTGAACAAACACAGAGAGGTTTGACCACAGGTTTGACTACGCTACGGCTGGCAATGGATTGGTGTGTGTTAAACTGCACCGATTGCGGTTTCGAATGCACAGCAGCAGTGGCGCGGTGCTACTAGTCGCACCATGGGTCGCACCTGCGTTGCGATAAGTTGTGGGTTTGAGGGGTACGAAAACAACTAAAATGGTGGCGTTGATGGTGACTTCGAGTCTGCGGTTAGCGACAAAAATTTGGGAAAATCGGATGGACAAGTAAGGCTATAAGCGTCCAAAATTTTCGACTATTTAATACGCTGACTTTGTGGGGAACTTCACGGTGCTAAAGGTGAGTCCGGGAAACCAGGCATGTCCGGAATTTCAGGCATTTGAGAAATCGGATGTCGACTGTATTCATACATGAATCAACATTACAGGTTACTCATCATAACCAAGTGTTTCTTTTTTTAATCCGCCAGCAAAAGTGAGTTCAATATAAACAACTAGACCCTAGATTCTGTAGATTAAGCCTATCTCAGACAAATATGAACAGGAAAGTCTACACATGCAAAAAAAAATTCATTGAAGAATAAGTATGCACTACCAAAAACAATCAGTAGTAAAATATATTCTAGCTAATACTGCGAGAAAAAGAATAGACTAGGGCAAGTCATATATCTGCAGAAGCAGGGTAAGTTAATCTAGTTCATCCTGCCTTGTGATGTAAGGCCAAAAACAAAAAAAAAGAATGGATGGTAACCTAAGAGAAGACAACAGTAGCTTCTGTCTCCTTTTTTTAGTTACAAACCATTTTTTTTATTTTTGGCGCTATTACAACACGACGAAGTCATAATCAGGGCAGGTCATGTCAAAATTAACATGGCAGCCATTGCTACCAGATAAATCCACCCAACCAGAGCCACCTACCAGAACCAGAGCCACACCACACCCTATCAGTGCTTGCCACCAAGCTAACGTTATCATCACTCGCTCGGCTTGTTGCGGTATTTCAGGTCACACCTGAGCAGGTTACCAGAGCACGAAAAATCAAATGGCATGCCATAGAGCATCTAAATGATACGTTGCAGGTTAAACATGGCACCATTACAAGGGGCAATGCCGCACATGTGTCCGAATAAACATGCGCATCCTAATTAACACCATCCGAATAAACAGCTGACAAATGTATCATGTAACGTTCCCACAACTCCGCTCTTCCGTCACTTTCAAATAAACTCAGCCTGGCGAACTGCCTCGTGCGCGAGCGCATTTAAAAACAATCACACAAGACGCCAATGCCACAGTCTCTCAGCTCACCCGGTCAGAAGAGCACCAGGAGATCCGGTGCAAGTCAGTGAAGACATCCGGTTCATGGATCATTTTCTTCACCAGCACCCGGCTGTTGCAGTCCCTGGCCAAATTAAAAACATCATAAATTTAGACACCAGGGGAGTAAAGTCTGTAAAACTTTTAATGTTGCTAAATGGTTCGTGGGAGCAAAACACTCGGAGAGGTAGGGGGGTACCTATAGAGTGTGGCATTAATTTTTTAAGCTTGCTCAAGGAAGATGCTTTTTGAAAGATACCTATTGACTTGATTAACAATTACCACTCATCTTTACACGAAACACACGAGAAGTCGCGAACTTATAAAAGAAAATATCGACAAGCAGTGAGCTGTTTTAACACCACAGTGGCTTAGCAACTTCGGCATTGCTGCTTTTGCCTGCTTCTTGAACTTTCCTGAATAGAACTGCCCGTCGTGAATACAGCCAAACCCCTTTGCAAGAGGCATGATCCAAGCAGCAGTTCTTGTCTTTTATCAGGGATGTCTCTAATAAGCAGGGCACCTCGTATGCATTTTTCTATCAACGCATATTTTATTGTAGGCACACTGGTGTCTCTTATACCCATCTGTCTCTGATATCAGTGTCTCTTATAAAGGGGTCCGACTGTATTTCTCTGATACCCTTACAGCATAAAACGACTTATAACCAAAGGTTAGTTAATGCAAGAGCTTAACTTCGCTTGAACTGAAATAAATTCTACTGTTCAACAAAACTTCTGAAGCAACATTCATTACATAGCCAAATTACCTAAAGTTTCCACTGCAACGACATATTCAGCACATTTGAAAGGTCAGTAAATATCTAGAAAAGACATACAGGTCAGTAAATACTAGAAAAGGCATACATCTACATTGCAACTGCTTCTATTAACATCCCCTATACTACTCTTGGCATCATTGTCTGTTAGTTTTAATTAATATTATATCTACCAAAGAGAATGAGCTGTTAAATTTACACTTCTTTCCTTAGGACAAAATGAAAGGTGTGCTTACCACACATAAAAAATATTCGCGGAGTTCCCAAGTAGCGCATCGGGCTGTCCTTCAACACAGACCAGCGAGTCGAGTAGGTTGGACGTGCGTCCCAGGACGTGGGTCTTGTCGCCGAGCTCTCCGTGAAGGTGAAGCAGACGATGAACGCGCAACAGTGTTGCTCCGCCTTTGGTCCTCAGCGCTGTAGCAAACCGGCTCTCTTGGCTCAGCTTGGCTATACGGTAGATGCGCTGGCTTCTTTTTGGTGAGAGGAGACTGGTTGTGAAAGAAGCAGGGAAGAAGGAAAAGAGGAAAACAAGGACTGGTTTGAACTAAGGCAATATTTGTTCGATTGTAACAGAACACTTTCTCAAAGTATGTGTGCTCTATTCAATTGCTAATTTACTAGTGAACACTGCGTCGACCCCCCCCCCCCCCCCCACAGAAATTTAAGAACACCACGGGGCCACAGTCTGATCAACGAGCTGCAGTTAAGAGTGGTTTCTTCATACATATTAGTTACCTGTGCATTCAAATTTGACTGCACCTCACACCAAATCACTACTCGTTTTCCGAGCAGCATTCACTGCGCACCAGTCATACTTCTAGTTTCAGTGGTGCGTAGTCCCGATTTTCACCAGAAATATCTACTCAGTTCTTTTTTGTATAACTACTGCATGTTGTTCCAAGTACAATGCCTGCTTCACAAGTAAAACCATTTTGATATCAAAAGGGCTTGAAATGTTCCAAGTACAATGCCTGCTTCACAAGTAAAACCATTTTGATATCAAAAGGGCTTGAAATTTGTGAACCTGCAGCTGTCTTGTCATCAATGAAATCGCAATTTGGTCACTTAGCGGGTCAGATTTTGCACAAGTACCAGGAACTCATGTCGTCTGGGAAGCACACGGTTACAAGAAGAGTTTTGTCAAGCAGTGGACTTCTAACGAAAGCAAGTCAATAAATTTTGCTGCTGAAAAAGTGTAACTCTCTTTGCATTGGGTATCTCCTAAATAAAGGTGCTGTCTTTCAAGACATATTTTGAGGCCATTGAGTTCGAGTGCTATCATTGCAAAATGAGAAAGCAGAGGACCCAGATGAAATGCCAAATGACAGCCCAATCAAGGCTACGTGTTTTGACTGCTGCTCAAATGCCTTCGATGATATCAAAATAGAGAAACAAAAGACAAAAATAAGACTAGCACCCACTCGAAAAAAATCATGATGTGTAACGAATGCATGCACCTTTGTTTGCACAGAAACACTCGCACTGTTGTGCTCATTAGTCCTTTAATTCCTGAGTTACGAAACCACCCCGGCAAAAAAATTCGTTTTTCATTTTTCAGCATTAAATATCAACTTTTACTTAACTCTGCAGTTAAATTGTCTGAAATGCAACTTTGATGCACACTTTTAGGTATGTCGTGAATTTGCGACAGGAGGCACTTCAGCCAGTATGTGGCTCGATACAGAGATATGTTCAAAATCGAACCTTGAAAAGACTATCTTTGAACACATTTCGGGACTTGCATAGTCGGCATTTTGCGGTATCTCGCGCATTCGCAACACCTGGCATGAAAGGGGTAAAGACTTGCACAAATGTTGCACCATGCTTGACAGGATGTAAGAATAGGCTTGTTGGGGGTGATATACATAGAGGGGTGGAAGCAGGCTTCTGTATTTTGGAGCAGCTTTGGGAGCAGGAATAATATGGTTTAGAGTAGCTTTGAAGCAGTAAAAGGGGAGTTTTGGAGGAGCTCTGGAGCACAAAAACGCGTGTTCTGGAGCATCAAAATTTAGTTTTGGAGCAGAATTTCTCGGGTCAGACATCACTGTTAATTAAAACTTTTGCTTTCTCATAAACACTAAAAATTTCAGCGGCTTTTACTAAGCATTCAATGCTGATCAAGTAACCAAACTTGCCCTAAATTGGCATTTATATTAAACTTTACATCAAAGCTCAAAGCACAGCAACTCACATAAAAAACATAAGTCAAGCTAAGGACAGCACTAGACATCAGACAAACAAAAAAATAAATGTTAAAATGTTGCGATTTTCAAAAGGTGATTAAAACACGGCATCCAACATGAACAGCAACTCAAGACTAGAGATGAACTAATATAATACATGTTATTTTCACACTAAACCAACAGGGCTCTATAAAAGTAAATGTAAAAAGCTTATGTTCCGGTCAGTGAAGTGCCACAGCCGACATGAGAACTACGAGAAAATTTATAAGGGCTCGCAGTGCCATTGCTAGGCAATTAAGTGAATTTTTTTATTACGATAGAAACTATATGGACACTTGACAGGTTTTCACAGTCGCCACTATGTTCCGCATAAACTACGAGTTGGTAACATACCCGCGTGTCATACATTCTACCCGCATGTAAAATTAATTGCACAAGCTGGGGTGATGAGCCCTGATCAAGCATAAGTTAAACAAGGCAGCTGATCTCCATGGCTCGGAGGGCACACATGACAGCATCCAACCATGTATTAGACCTGCCGTCGAATGCGCAAGCAGAGAGGAAACACACCGCCCATCTTGAATGAGCATGAAAAGACGCAGGGGAAAGGGTGGGGGTTGCTCAAGCAGCAGTGGCGAACTTTGATATTGTTATGTAAAAATGACATGAGGTGTGTCTATTTAGAATCTATATTGACACGCACAACAGACAGACCACTTCCTCGTTGTCGTCTTCTGACTGTGATATGTCAGATACGTAGCATTACCCCCCGGTGGTAAAAGCACCATCTCAGTGCACATTATTTACTGTCTTCAGAAGGCAGGCGGTAAGGTTTTAGCCTGCTGCCGTGCACAACATCACTGGGTGTGGTTGCAGGCAAGCTTGTGGTCTCAGATGCAGGAATGATCTCATAGGTGACGTTGGTTACCTGGCAAGTGATACGGTAAGGACCCATGTAGCAAGACAACAGCTTCTCTGATAAGCCAACTCGACGAACTGGGCACCACAAGAGAATGAGAGAACCAGGTGAGAAGTGAACATCAACATGCCGGCTGTCATAGATGGCTTTCTGAGAGGCCTGCGAAGCCGAAAGTCTAGAGAGGGCGATCTGACGTGCGTGGTCAGCACGAGCAATAGCGTCGCGCGCATATTCGGTTGACGGTGTAGTAGCGGTCGAAAGTAGGGTGTCGAGTGGCAACGTCGGATCGCGGCCATAAAGCAAATAAAAGGGTGAATAGCCAGTGGTGCCGTGGCGCAAAGAATTGTACGCGAAGGTCAGGTGAGGTAGCGCCAGGTCCTAGTTATGGTGGTCGGGAGACACATACATCGCGAGCATGTCTGTGATGGTACGATTTAGGCGTTCGCTAAGGCCATTTGTTTCGGGATGGTATGAAGTGATTAACTTGTGCTGCATCGAGGAAGAGCGCAGAAGGTCGTCAATCACTCGGAACAAAATGCGCGGCCGCGATCCGTTAGTAATTGGCGAGGAGCGCCATGGTGTAGGATGACATCGTGGAGCAAAAAGTCGGCAATGTCAGTAGTGGTGCTGGTGGGGAGCGCTCTAGTGATGGCATACCTAGTCGCGTAATCTATAGCAACGGGGACCCACTTGTCGCCCGATTTGGACTCCGGAAAAGGACCAAGAAAATCTATACCAACACAGAAGAAAGGTTCGGTCGGGATGGAGATCGGTTGAAGAGGTTGAAGGGGTGCTGTAGGTCGCTTCCTACGTTGGCATTTATCACAGGAGGACACGTAACGACGAACGGACCTGGCGAGACCGCGCCAAAAGAAGCGGCGACGCACACAGTCGTACGTCCGAGATACACCCAGTTGACCAGCAATTGGTTTATCGAAAAGCTTGTGCCGCTCGGTTGAACGCAAATGTTTCGGCACAACAAGAAGGAGCTCAGGCCCATCTGGCTGAAGGCTCCGGCAGTACAGTGTGCCGGACGTACATGTGAAGCGACGCGTGGTTTGGAGCAGATTCGAGATGGTCAATAAGTTGTCGCAGGGAAGCATCACGACGTTGTTCATCACCAATCTGAAGAAACTAGGACATTGACATGGCTCTGAGGCTAGGCTTGATGTCTGATTCGTCGGGATGATCAACAGGGTAGCGGGATAAGCAATCGGCATCCAGATGGAGACGTCTAGACTTGTAAGCAACCGAGTAGAAATACTTTTGTAGGCGTAATTCCCAACCGCCAAGTCATCCAGTGAGGTCCTTCAGAGAAAAAAGCCAACACAGTGTAGGAGCATCCGGGTCGAAATGTGCAAGAATAGGAGGTGTGGTTAGAGCGGTGATTAGTTGAGAGGAGGCGTCAGCTTGAAGAGTGCCCCAACAAAATGCGACATCTTGTTTGAGAAGGTCGAGGTGTGATTAGAGCAGTGATTAGCTGAGAGAAGGCGTCAGCATGAAGAGGGCCCCAACAAAATGGGACGTCTTGTTTGAGAAGGTCAGTGAGTGGCCGTGCGAGTGCCGCAAAGTTTTTCACGAACCGGCGAAAGTAGAAGCAGAGGCCCACGAAACTGCAAGCATCATGGACAGATCGTAGGGACTGGGAAGTTTGTTACAGCGCGTACTTCTGTCGGGTCTGGTCGAACGCCGGCAGCGTGAATAAGGTGACCCAACACGGTAATCTGATGAAGACCGAAGTGGCACTTGGAGGAATTGAGCTGCAGGCCGGCCTCGTCGAAATATGGATAGATTGGTCAAAAGGCGTTCAAGGTGGCTTGCGAAGGTAGGTGAGAAAATGATCACGTCATCCAGGTAACACAAACATGTCGACCATTTAAATCCTTGTAGGAGCGTGTCCATCATTCTCTCGAAGGTCACTGGAGCGTTGCAGAGACCGAAGGGCATGACCATGAATTGGTAAAGACCGTCAGGGGTAACGAAGGCGGTCTTCTCTCGGTTCATGTCATCTACAGCAATTTGCCAGTAGCCAGATCGGAGGTGGAGAGATGAAAAGAAGGTGGCCCCATGGGGGCAATCGAGGGCATTGTCAATGCATGGTAGAGGTACACATCTTTTTTGGTAATTTTGTTGAGGTGGCGATAATCAATGCATAAACGCCATGAGCTGTCTTTCTTCTTTACTAATACCAAGGGAGATGCCCAAGGGCTCGATGATGGTTCGACTACGTTTTTCGTAAGCATTTTGGCCACTTCTTTTTTAATCACTTCTCGCTCGGTCGCAGTATGACACGCGGTATGGCCGACGGTGAATGGGCGCAGAGTCACCAGTGTTAGTTCAGTGAGTGACAATTTTAGTCTGGCCCAAGGGACGATCGTGGGTGTCA